AACTGGAGAAACCCACTACTGTCAGGAAAAGCTGGCTCATGAAAGCAGGGGCATCCAGGGATGCAAATAGATACAGGAGCCACTCCACTGCTGGCAGACCAGAACGGACATTGGCAGAAGAATCATTCCATGTGCCAGTAACCCTGGGCAGTTCAAAACCCACCATACGTCAAAGTTCTGGACATAACATTTGAGCCTGTGAGCTTTGTCCTGCAAGTATTTCATGTCACTAGAGAGCATGCCATCATGATTCTTGATTGTCAGTCTTGGAAACAGCAGGGGCAGTGTTTTAGTTACTCTTCTCTCATTGCTATGACAAATACCTGACACTCAAAATGAAGGAAGGAAAGGTTTATTTTGCTCACAGTTACTGGAGGTGTCAGTCCATATTCAGCTGGATCCAAGGCCGAGTGGCACAAGGGCAGATGGCAACCTTTCATGGCGGCAGCAAAGAGCAAGAGCACAAAAGGGGAGTAGCAGCAGCTCAATAGCTAGCTTCTCAGTCCTCCTTACATTGTAATGCAAATTATATGCCCCAGGGCAGGTGCAGCATCCACACCCACAATAATCAATCCCAAACTGCAGAAGCTGCCCCAGGACTGCCTGAGGCTTTAGGGGGACTACTATATGCAATCCATAAGAGACAGTCATGATTCCAGCATAAAGTCTCACACTAAACACTGTCCTTATTCAGTGGTGAGATTATTTCTATTGGACACTGTAGGAATATAAGAGTCTTTATAATTTATTTGCCAGCATCCAATATGTGCTCCTGCCCCTTCTAAATTAGGAATGCACTCTTTCCAGTTCTTTCTTCCATTTCACTGATATACTTTCCCTGTTTCCCAGGGATACTGTGCTGGCATTCTGTGCCTACTGGTGTAAGGTTTGGCATGCTTTCATTGGAAAAAAGTTACAGCGCAGACCCGGGAATTTTTGAGAACATATATTTTTCACTTTACTTTACTTAATTAGCCTGTATTTCCCTTATCTATTTTGTTTGTGAATCTGTAACAAGGCATGGGATGGAGTGAAAGATTAAGGCAATTCAGACAGGTTCAGATAGCGGTAATCCAGCCCAGGTGACTCTGTATTGCTAAAATATTCTCAGCAAGGTCAAACTGAGTCGATTCTGCCTCAGTCTGTCCTATTTCTAAGGTAAACTGAGTCCAAAACTAGAGCTTCTTTGGCTTAGGATGAGCTTAACCAAGGGCCACCATCCCCTACACGTAAAGACCCAAACATCTTCCAGATACATTTCCTGACCTCCTGAGCCTGGGTGAAATCCAGCAAAGATCAAGGTCTCAATCACTCTTCTCAAAATTGTTTGCTTCTGCTGTTCATCACCAATCACACTTTCTCTTACTCCATTATCACTGGCCAGGTCAGTCCTGCTTTTGGTTCTCCATGGTGTTGCTGCTCACTGTTTATCAGAAGTTCTTCAGCAATGGAGATCAGTATGAATTCTAGAGACACAAGAAGCAAATCTCCAGGGCACTTCTATCTACCCTGCAACAGACTAGATCTACATAGACCAACTCTGCATTTCAAGCCATCACCATATCCTTTCATGTAGCCTCAATTAGCTGAACCTACATGCACCATCGTCGCCATGGATGATGGCCCCAGACAGCCCCAGGATAGAACTGATACAACTGCAGTTCTTGCTATGTGGAACCAGCAACAACTAAGTGGGCCCATGTGTGGTCATGCCCCTGAAGACCTGAGGCTCAAACATTCTGTAAGCCTTGTTTTGAACTTTCTAGAGATATCTTATATTCTTAATGAGCCAGAAAGTCCGACACTGGGGTGTACCAAAAGAACCAGGTGTGGTCCCATAGTAAAATCCATCAGAGGGGCCCCAAAAAGACAGGAGTGTGTGGCATACTATTGCATAGTTCCCCACATGCAGTATGGATCATTCCAAGTGTCACAGTTCTAGGTAGTGTGGACCTTTAGGCATCCTCACTGACTAATGGACAGAGACATAGTTTTGGCAGGAACTAAGGCCCAACCACAACCTCTCTTCCCCTTATG